ACCAACTCCATTTTGAATGTAGATTTTTGATCTATTTATCTCATAACTGTTCAGCCTGAACATGACTGGTAATCGAGACTATAAACAGCTGACTTGATGGTGCTTACAAGCTGTTACTCTATTTACTGGATTAACTCAGTGATGTTAAGATAGGTGACTAGCACAACACATGTTGTACATTTAGTTACTGGAGTAAAACATATTACTTCTCTGAGGTTTGATAAATTTTCTGTTTCTGGAGCTCTTTAAATAAAGAAACCAACTTTGGGATATAAATAAAGGAGAACAACTCAGTGTACCTGCCAAATGTCAAACAGAGTGGTGAGGGGTAAGTTCAAACATCACAACTCTAAACAATGCCAGGTACACCTTGTCACTGTCACATGTACTCAGCTGTGAGGCTTGAATGGCATTGAGTGAGAAAGGTCTGTGGTTTGTACATCCAGCCTCACACTGAAATATAAGCAGCAGCTCTAAATAGCATCTTGACTGGTGAAGGGAGACATTATATACTGGATTCCTAAGAAAAAAGCAAACAGACCTCTACAGAATAGGTTGAAAGAAAAAAAAAAAATCCTTAAAGTATTTATGGACTTAAACCTTGCTTCATAACACAAAAATTTTAGGGCTCTTACAGGAAAAAATAAGTCATAACATGGTAAAACATAAATAGCAAACAAAAATAAGACTAGGGGAAGTAGTATAGGAAAACACATGTAACACAGATAAGCAATATAAAAATAACAAAGATGAAAATAATCAAAATGTGTATATCCAATACTTTATGTAGTCATTTCTAGTACAAATGCTTATTAGAAAATACATTGCAATCATTGTAAGTAGTAATATCTAAGCCTAAATTGAGAATACATGATATAAGCAAGATATCATCAGAAAATGGATTAATTTTATTTTAACGCAAAGGTCATTTCTCATTTTACTGCTTAAAATAATACTGTATCTTTAACCAAGGGGAGAGAGTTGCTGAGGGATGATCATTTTAGCTATAAGAGGATATCGCTTGTTTATCACTGGACTCAACAAAAGGACTGACACCCTAATATTATTTAGTACTCATAGTTAACATGCCATAAAATAGTGAATAGTATCTTATTACTCATGGACATCTGTATATTCATCTGTATATTTAAATTTGTGAAATAATTACATGAACTATTCCAACATAAACTGAAGTTTTTAAAGTAAAATTAAAAAAAAAACATTAGTATAATGACATGCACAGCATAGTTTTTAAGGTGTAATTTGTTAAGTTTTGACATGTTTATATCTGTCAATGCTTCAATAAAATCAAGATGATGAACTTAATCATCACCCTTAAAAATGCTCTCACCTGCCCAACTCTCATCAGTCCTCAGGCCACACTGCCTTGATGATTTATAGCTTTCAAATAAGACTTGAAATTAAGTAATGTTTAAAAACTGTTTTTATCTAGACTAGATCTCTTGAATTTATAGCTTAAAATTTTCTACAAAACAGCTTGGTAGATTTTTGATTGGAATTGCAGGGAATCTGCAGATGAATTTGGCGAGAACTGATATTGTCAAGAAATTGAGTACTCCAAACTATAAAAAGTGTACATTTGCCCATTTATTTAAATATTCTTTTCTTTCATATTACAAAATTGTGCAGTATTAAGAGTATATTCCCATTGCAGATAACATAAACACATGCAAGATTTTGCTCAGAGTTCACAAAACTATAGAAATTACACCAAAATATTAACTTTTGATTGAATGCAGTAGACTGTCATTCTTAAGATATTAATAAAATTTCATTTGGATAAGCATGTTACATTTATTTTTATATTATTAAGAAAATATTACTTCATAACTAAATACTCATTTATACTTGTTGAAGCCACAATCTATGCAGGATGAAAGCAAGACCATTACCAAATATCTTTAGGAAATATATGTCTAAGTTACAACTCAACGTAGATTTTAGTTAAGTGGAGGAAATAAGAGAAAATATTCAATGCAAGTACTGTTGCATAGTATAGATTATTGGAGAAAAAACATTAAAGGCCTCTAGAATAAGAAAGCAAGTGAAGGAAATGAGGGTCAATGAAAAGAAAAATATGAAGAAGAGTAATGCTTAAATCCATTATTAGTAACAATGGTTCTGCGTGGCTGGAAAAGGTTGAGACTGACATGTATAGAGCTATGAATACAGATAAAATTGTGACTTGAATTTATTTTTTATTCATTCAATAAATCTTTGTTTAGCATTACTATATTCCAGGCACTGTTTAACAGAGAGGACAGTAAACTATGATCAATGACCTGTTTTTTAACAGTCCAAGATCTAAGAAAGGCTTTTACATTTTTAAAGGTTAAACTAACCAATCATCCAGCAAAACAAAACAAAAATGTAATATAGATGATATGTGCTGCAAACCGTAAACTATTTGCCATTTGGTCACTACAGAAAATGTCTGTTAACCCTGTTTAAGATATTGAAATACAACAGTAGAAAAGAAAGAAACGAAAGGAGTGAGTACTTGCCCTCATGGAAGGGATATTCTTATGGGAAGGATAGAGATGAACAATGAATATGTGAAATACAGTTAGTAAGAGTGTACATAGAAAATTAAAATAGAGAAGGGGAGTTGGATGACCAGAAATGAAGTGCAGTCTAACTCATGGTCTATTGGTCAAAATGGGCATGACAGTCTTAGAATGAGGAATAATCTGATTATTTGGATTTTTTGAGGTGAACAAACTCCAAACAGATAGTGGTAAGTTGAGACAGTCACTTTCATTGTGATTATTATGCTGAGGATAGAGAAAGTATTGGTGTTTTATTCAAAGCCCCAGATAATTGGGACTCTTAATTCTCCTGCCAATAGCAAGGTAGGAAAATCCCCTCTTCTGGGATTTTCCAGGAGCTTTATCTGAAGATATTGTGGAGATAAATTGGAGGGAGAAAGCACCATTTTGGAATGACTAAAGTCTTAAGAGTTGACTTTCCTGATACTGGTAATGTATCAGAAGAGACCACTGATAAGTACAACATTCTAGAAGTTGAGTGAATGTAATAAGAGACAAAATTGTCCCCATTGTTAGCACCAGAAGGAACACCACACTGAGTCAAATCACCTGTATTAAAATGTTTGTTGAGCTTCTATGTACCTGGCACAGTTTTCAGAGCTAAATATACAGTGTTGTGCAAGAAAATATAAACAAGATCCATCTCTTGTGAAATTTATGATCAAATGCTACAGGAAATTTCAGTCTTTTACAAGAGCTATGTGCAAGATGGAAATTACTGCCTTATGTAGGAAGGGCAAAGAGAGTCCTCTAAGAAGCTGCCTTTTTAGATTGTTGAGAGCTAAAATGGAGGGAGGTTTTGTTTTCTTTTTTTTTTTTTTTTAATCAGTTAGTGAGAAAAGGCAAAGTGAATTAAAATAGGGACTGAGGCAGTATGGAACTTTTAGAACAATGAATTTGGGTCCAGGCAGTTTCTCTTTAGGCACTTCTGAGGGCCTTACAGAGCCTGTGGTGAGACAGAGTCCCCCCTAGGACAGCCCTCAAGCAGAAAGTTACCTTAGGCTCATTTTTCCTTTCTTTCCCTAGCTACTATTGATGGGACCTTAAAAGAGTCTAGGAGAGGGTGACTTCCTCCAAATATCATGCTCCTAAGATTCAGAACATTTTAGTTGTTATCCTTTTCTCAGCAACAGAGCGAAGTAAATGCCCAAGGCATTTATGTGCTTCCTATAGATAGCAGGGGGACAATAATGTTATTAGTAAGCATACTAGCAGCAGAAAGCTGACATTTATGGGGGGCTTAGAGGTGCTAACCCTCCTTATGAGGTAATTAATTCAGTCTTCAAAATAATCCTGAATGGGAGGAATGCTAACCCATTTCCTAGACGGAGAAACTGAAGCAAAGAGAATTGAGTAACCCGCCTAGTTCCTACAGTAGGTGATAAAATGTGGCAGTATGACTGCAGAATTTTCATGTTCTTATAAGTACCATATGACATCCTCTCTGTTCTCAAGTCCCAAATAAATTTCAGGTGTATATATCCTTTTTGTTTATGTGGTTTGGAGTTCACTGAAAATATTACAAGTGTTTTCCAAAACCCATGTTTTTGCTACACTCATTACTAAGAATTGTTCTAGTTTGATCCCGAGAAGAACTAGTTTTTTCTGTTGTTGTTTGTTTGTTTTTGCAAGAACCCCCTTTCCTTCGTTTAGCATTTGTCCCTAATGAAGCTTATTTTCAGTCAGGAAGGATAATGGGGTAATACATGGCATCATATTCATTCAGCATTTGAGTTTTCAGTTTTGGCTCACATATATGCTTCTCATAGTTCTTTAATACTCCAACTCAATCTGTTTCCCCCACAGACTTATAATTTTTTATTTTGAAAATTAGCAGGTTTTAAGGATGGGGGGCCAAATGCCATAAGTTCACTTTATCAGATAATCATATATTTGCAGGGTAGGCAGTTCGGTTTTATACAATTAAAATTTATCCATCAGAGAATTAACAAACAATACATTATTGGGTGAATATAATTGGATGAATTTTTCCTACTGATAAGTTTTTCTTGCACTATGACCAACTTCTTAGCTTACTGGAAAATGAAATAGATTTCATTGCATCAAAACAGCAGCTGCAAATACTCTACCCCCACCCCATCCTTAGCTAGTGAAATAAAGACTTAATTCATTCACTCATAGGTTTATTTTACTTTATTTGGAGTTTTTAAGCCAACTAAAAATCCTAAGAGATCACAAAGCCTCCTAAATTTTACTTATACATAAAAACAGCATATGAGAAAACCCAGAGAATGAAAACTATTTGTCATTTTACTTCATTTATATGATTAGTCAACAAAGGTGATTTATATCCTAAAATAAGTTAGCTACCTAACCCCACCCAACAAATTTTATTTATTTCTGTTCTTTCTAGTCCTTGGAAAAAATGACCAAAATACAACAGAGCAAGACATGGAGAACACTCCTTACCTTTAAAGAAGACAAAATTGCCGTCACTGTTCTCATAAACTGCATCAATACTAGGCGGTAAGCCCCGCCAGAAGTAAGTAATTTGCATGGGGTATCCATCCATCACCCTGTTGTTTCTCACTCGCCAAAACCACTGGTCCTGCAAACCAAGCAAAAGTATCTCTCATCAAATGTGCAGTCTCCATTGCATTTCACCTGTACTATGATTTAACACTTTCAAAGCTAAACTAGTGTCCTTATCATTATTTAACATCGAGAGTAAAAGAAACAGCGAACATCTTGCCCACATGATGGCGTAAGTTTGTAGTATACTACCCAATTTCTAATCCACACAATGTGGTTAAAAGATATTATAAAAATACTTAATCTGAGCATTTTGCATTCTCTCCAGGACTTTCTCGGTAGAAATTCAGAGGTAACATAGATAAGTCCCAGCCAGATTTGTGGATTAAATAACTTTTCCATATATGAGAGTGACATATGGCTGCATATGCATCCCAGTATTTTTAGACATATGCAAAATCTCCACATCTAAAATGTTGTTAAAATAGGGATGCCATAATTCAATATGTCCATGTTATTCCTATTGTCCCAAATAGTTATTTCATTTATTTTAAATTTCAGTTTTTACAAAGAAATTTCACTTGGAAGTTACATTCTGTTCCATTTAGCTAAGTATGTATCATAACAATTATTCAGTTTCAATTCTTCTCTGCTCTCCTGCTCCAATTTAGATATTAATAAGTGATTTATTATAAGGCTTTCCCAAGCTTTTGGCTAAAAATAGATTAGTATGCCTAAATTTTCTAGGATTTGTCAGTTTTCTTTCTCTCTCTCTCAGCACTGCCTCCCACCTTCAAAGTCCACTGAGGATTCTTCAGGAAATATCATAAAATAAACTATTTCCTACCTACATTCCCCAGTCTAAACATATTAAAATTTTCTTAGAAACTTTGAGCCACTGTACTTTGTTCTAGTTATTATGGGCTGTTTTCCCTACTAAACGTTGTTATTGATATATAAAGGAGGATATATATTAATTAATACCTCTAAATTATATATTAATAATAAAGACCTGGAATACAGTAGCATTAAAAAAATGTTGGTTGTTACCATTGTTAACACTATATTGAAACTAGTTTTTTTCTGTTCTTTTTTAATTCTTTTTAATTAAATTTTTTAATTTCTGTTCTTTTTTAATTCTTCACGTTTCAGCAACAATTTGGCTCCAGACATGAGTTCCTTTCCCACCGATATCTTACTATGTTATTAACAATTTGTTAACAATTTTCATATTACTAGGTAGACTGAATTAAAAATGTTTTGCTCCACATCTAGCAGATACATTAAAAGGATTTTAAAATACAAAGTTATTAATGAAAACATTGATTCAGGAAAATATATATATGGGCATGACGTTAAGGTTTTATTGCTAATAGTATGTAAGCAAGTGATATTGAAAGAAAAATAGTGTTTTTTTTCTGTCTAGCTACAACAGGGGCTTTTCACTTGGTATTAAAGTCATTCCAAAGTCCACATAAAATATTTTTAATTATTAAAATGTATATCCTAAAATAATAAATAGAAACAGCTAAGTATCTACTCAATTTTGCTAAATAACTGACCATGATTGTTTATGGAACAATGAAACCGAAAGCTCTCTAAGGTAAAATCAGGTAAAACAGTCTCAACTATTTTCCAATTTTTCTCAGGAAAGCATTTATTTGGCTACACCTTCCCACATAATGAGACAAGCTAGTGACACTTTGGGACAGTGTGAAGGTAGAAACACAATGTAACTTGCCACCAATAAGGGAAGAAATGAATGCTCTGTCTCAAGATAAAAGTAGTTAATTTAAAAAATTCAGAATGTAATGTGGAATCATGGGTTATTCAGAACTGGTTTTCACTGACTTGTTAGAGAGACGTAAATTAGATAATCAGAATGTGCCTCTATTCAAAGTATCCACAACTTCTCAGCAGAAATCAACACAGAAAATTTAGCAAGTATTCAGTCACAGAGGATGTTAAGTGCGTACTTCAGTCACTGCACATTGCCATTTCAAAATGGGGCTTGTGAAGAATTTGGAAAAGGAGGATATTTAAAATGATATTTAGGTCTCTGTGCAAATTTTCCTTCTAAGAGAAACCTTTTTTTGACCACTTGATCTAAAATTGAAGCCCACACTCTACCCACACACATCTGCTTTCATTTCCCTTTCCCCTGCTTTCTTTGTTGCATTTATCACTGTTTTACACGATATATGTTTTATTCATTTGTTGCTCATTCTCTCTCCACTGTGGGTTTTATGATGGCAAAGTCCTCTGTTCACTTGTTCCATATTCCCCCCTGCCTCCCAAAAAAGCCTCACACATAGTTGAAGCTCAGAAAGTTTTTCCTTGAAAGAAAAGTTAAGCGGAAAGGCAAATTAAAAGTATGATTTTTTTTCCCCCTACAAGACAAAATCTATATGGGAGCCACAAAAAATACAGAAGTTCTACTTTGATAGGCAGAAACTTGGTATATATTCCATTTTCCTAAAAGGATGAGATAATTTTTTTTAAAGATTTATTTATTTAATGCATACAAGAACTGGGGTACAAGCCAGAGGTGGAAGGGGGTGAGAGGATTCACCAGAGACAGAGTGGGGAACAGAACAGGCAGATTGATGGAAGTATACTGCTGAGGGGAACAGCGGGTGAGTCAGGAGAAGTCTGCTGCACCATGTGGGTTATTTCCCTGGCTGGGGATAGAACTCATGTTGCAGTGACTGAAGACAGCTTCATAGGTTGTGTCCTAACCCCTTGCGCCACCAGCGAGGCCCCAAGGATGGGATAAATTTGAGCCATAGAGAAAAAAATTGTTTTCAACCTTCCAAACAATGTAGAAATTTTTGATTTTACATGTAAAGAGAAAGAGGACTTCTCCAGAGTCCTGAATCTGTTTGAACCTTACTTCTGGACTCTCTGGTTATATCCCTTATGGAAGGAGATGCAAAAAGATAATTAATCACAGCTAGCACATTTGCAAAATCAACTTTTGAGAACAAATGCTTATAAGTTACTAAATAGAAATTCTAATATTGCCCAACATGAAGAACAAACATATAGAGGTCAAACCTTTAAACTAGAATCTAACCTAATCTTTAGACTTACCTTCTTCTAGCTTATAGAAAGAAAATAGTAAGTAAATGACATTTAAAAGAAGCATAAGCTACATCACAGAATGTGAGATAGTCTGTAAGACTGTTAAATCTAATGTTAGATATACACGTTTATTCTTCCAACTTTTTTGTATTTTTGAAAATTTTCATAATTAAAGGTATAGAATATTTATACTCATTAAAAAAAAAACCTAAAAAATACACAGGTAATCCCCTTATGATAAAATGTTATTATATTATCTTTGTAAATATTTGCTATGGTTACTCTGGTTATATTGTGGTTTAGCAATTTTAATAATAATAAACATCCATTGTAGTTATTTAAATTTGCTACTATTGATAATGCTGCAACCAATATCTTTGTGTACTAAAAAGTAACAAAAATTATTCCATCTTATTTAATTAAGAGTAGTATATGTTCTAATCAACAGTAGTACATGTGGACTAGAAATATAAAATACTGTATAATACTATACAAATATGGAATGAATTCATTAATTGATTGATTTCACACTACACTTATGTTCAGATTGTCTGTATAGAGAATAGTAAGAGGTATTATAGTATTAAAGAGAGAGAGCAAGGCCATTTGCATTTAGTTATATGCATTTCCTTTTCATCATTGGAAATTAAAAGCAAAATTATAACAGAGAAAAACAAAAACTATTAATGGATGTTTAATAGCAAAAGATGTATCTGGCAAAGATAATGGCATTCTGGGAAGCATTCATTATGTCATTACAAGAGTTGACACAAACTAGCTTTTGGTACCTAAGCATTAGAAGAAAACCAGCTTAAAGCAACCATGGACCATACATTCTCACAAAGGCAGTCATGAATGTCTGTAGTAATTTTGCATGCACAATTTTCAGAACTCATCAATCAAAGATTAGCCTCATGTAATTCTGGGACACATAATGGAGGTACGTCTCAATAGGTCCCAGTTCTTTGGATACTGTCTGCATTTTTTGAAAAAGCTTAAAACACAGACTCACTGTAATAGGGAAGGAAGTAACAAGTGATTCTTCTAAATCACTTCACACTTCACAATTTTGGAATTTCCCTTAATGTTTTTAACTATTTTCTAGGAAGAATGTCATAAATAGCAGTTGATTTAGAAATATAATTTTTTAATAAATACATTTTATTGATTTTTTTCTAAATAAAACATTTTTATTTCAAAGGAAAAAAGAGTTGGTATTTTCAGGATATTTTGCTTACTGCTTGTGTGAAATTTATATGATGATTTTTATGGTCTCCGAATGTTAAAAAAATAAACCTTTGATTTTAGATGAACTTATATTGAAAACTGGTCACTAAAGAGTTAAGATACATGGTCATATATGGACCAATTTCTTATTAATTAATATTTATTAAAGTCCTGGTTTACAGAATATTAATTTTTAAACCTTAAAAAACCACAATTATTAATGCATAATATAATTACATATTTAATTTTTATTTCACTTAAATATGTGAACAATGAAGGTGAAAGTATGGGTACATCAACAATGAGGTTAAGCCCTAGTTTAGAAAGATCTGAGAAGCAAGCTAAAGATGGATGTATCTTGACATTTTAGGTCCTTATTTCTCTTTTCCTGTCTATGCATCTATTCTTGTTCAGAAACTGTTTTGCAACAGTGGTGATGAAGAAAAGAACAATTTATTTAAAAATGCTTCAGCAACAGTGGTGATGAAGAAAAGAACAATTTATTTAAAAATGCTTCAAAATGCTGCATTTCAGGGAAAGGAGTCTCAAAGTACAGATATGATTGCACCACAAATACCATGATATTCTGCTTTTCTCCCCCTCCTCCTTGGGATCTAAGGATCTTGAATATTGACAGGATGATCTAAATTTTAATTCACATTTCATACAATTAAGTATTGAAAAAAATATAAAAGGTTTCATTCCTCCCACAGCACTAGCAGTTCCGGATTCCAAAAATATCAAACTCTTTGAGTATACATTCAATCTAGATGGCAGCACAGGCAAACAACTAATTTCAAAAGGCTGTATGAAATGCTATAATTTCTGCCTCTATAAAATGGGAACTATCATTTAGTGAATATAATGAGTTGGAAAACAGCTGTGTCATTAGCACACCTATCAAGAATTGCCAGCCCTTTATCTTTGACCCCCAAAAGATGTCAAAGATGTCATTTACAATAAAAACTATGTTCTTCCTGAAAAAGGATAGGGCTATTTTTTATTGAAGGTATGTAGAGCAGTGTATCTAATTGAGTTTTTTAACCACCCAATCTAAAATTGCCTCCTCAATCTTTTTCTATAAACTCACCATGTTTTATTGTCTTCATGATATCTATTATTCTTGATCGTCTTGTTTATTTGCTCATCTGTATCTCATCAGGCCATGTACATATCTATCTCATTCATACCTGTACTTCTCAGTCCTCCAGTAATGCCCAACACTATGCATTGAGTAAGTGTTCAAAGGTAGAAAAAAACAGGCAGTGAAAGAGAGACATATGAGTTAATCTTTTTCTTAACACCTGGATGAAGGTTGACTGGGTGGTCAATATTTAGTTAAGTGTCCCCACAGAAAGCCCCCCCCCCCCCCCCCCCCCCCGCCCCAGCACCTCTTTACTGCTCCTATAACACTCTACATCTGTCAAGGTACTTAAGCAACTTCATGGAAATTATTCATTCAACTGCCTGTTTCTGCATATATTCTCTTTCCCATGAGCATCATTATCATCCTCTGCTTTCTCTCTTTTTTTTAAGTCTCAATTCAAGCTTCATCTCTAGGGAAACTATGCCTCTATTCTCCAAGGATTCTTGCCCTTTAGCTGACCCTTCTGTTTATTCGCATTGCATCCTGTAGCATAAAACCAGCCAATGTGACTTAGTATGGTCAGGTGGTGGAGAGTGGGGAAAAGAGATGTTTTATGACAGGGCATAGGAGCAATCAAAGGGCTGAGCTAGAGCTACATAGTATACGTTTTGGCTTCCTTTTCCATCAGTCTTATTCATTTTTCCAGATCTCACCATAACACACAAGAGGAACCTCTTGGGATTAGAAGAGATGGAAAGTAGACCAGATAATCAGCTTTCAGAACTACATGTTGAACAGAAATAAAGAATCATAATAGATTCCATTTTTTAAAAATCTGAGTAAATACAGAGGCCAAAGAAGAAGGGAGGAAGGCTGGGTAATGCCCTGGAGGCAATGAGCCAGAGGGAATTTTTTTCTTTTCTTTTTTTTTTATTTGCTTTCAAAGGAATACAAAGCTACTTGTCAACAAATTAAAGGCCTGTGTTGAATTAGAGGTTTGCTCCTAAGAGATAAGGGTAGATTGGATGGAGAATTCCCAAGAAATTACAAAGCAAAAAACCCTGAAAGATTCCTAAGTGACTTCCTTTCAGAGTTCAGGAACAGTTGTTGCCATAACAGGAGAGCCTAATCCTCATTAGCATTACCTAATTACTTTATGCTAATATGCTCTTGAAAACATTCCTTTGTTGCCACTGCTTTGCTGTGCTTTATTTACTTAAATAGGGAGTTCAAAAGGTAACTGCCCCTCCTTAAACTCAAAGTAAGTCCTCAACAAACAACTTGATGGGCAACAAACTAGAGTTGAAAATCTAAGGCAGTCCTGAGGGAAGTCAGATTTTCACAATCATTAGCAAATGGAAAGCACTTCTGTTACTGGTTCATTTCTATCAAGTGAAATAAATACAGATTTCATTATCAGATGAAATAAATGAGTTAGCAGTTTTTGCTTACTGTTGAAGAAAAAAAGTAGCTTGTCCAAAATAAACATAAGTAAATAAGTTTCCTAATCATTCAGCCAAATAGAGTCTGGAACAACTGTTGTGACCCAAAAAATTCTGAAAATTACTCTGAGCCACAAGGAATCTAATGAAAGAAGATTAAATAAAATGTATATGTTGATTTGATGCTTTGTGAAAGTATAAAGACTTATTAATATAGTAATATTTTTGCATTGAAGAAATTATTTCTTTTACTTTGCTGGAAAATTCATATAGTAGGAATTCCAGAGCCTCTGAATGTGAGGAAGGATGGTGTTGATTGCACTTATTTTTTGAGGGGAAAGGGTGAAAGCAGTCCCCTTCTATTACAAATTATGCAGTCCACTTTCCCACATTTGGGAAATCCTAGAGTTCACGACATCTGGAGTGCAATGGACATGTTTTGCCTTGGGAAAACTACCTTTGTGATCATGGTGTCTCCCCCTCCAGGTAAGTATCGATTGGACTTTCTTAGGAGAAACTCTAGGGATATTACAGAAAAGGAAGTTCATACACATCATATCAAAGTAAAATACTAAAGAATCGATGTTCCATCAGGCTGAGGGTGATGGTGGACAAAAGAAGTATCTGTTGGGGAGGAGGGTAATAGAAATATGAAAATGAGAATATTGATATTTGTTGGGGGTGGGTGATCTAGGAAGAGTGAGTGATAATGAAAAGGAAAAAGGCTGTTCTAGAAGCAACTACACAAATGTCATATGAAATGGAAAAAATAGCACTTTGATAGGGGCATCCAAGGACAAAATCAATAAAATAGAAGCTATAAATAACAGGCATAAATATGAAGAACTAAATGAAGCAAATGAAGTAAAAATAAATGTTGAATTAGAAAGGTCTGACACAAGCAGTAGTGTGCTATGGTTATAGCTATGGGGCAGGTTTTTACTTGGGGTTAGAAAAGAAATAACTAGGGGTTTCAGGAGGGAAGTACAATCTTGTGGTGAATGGAGAGAAAAAGACATTTCAGGTTAGTAAACTAGTAAATACTAAGTAATGAAGCACAAGTAGCCCAGAGTGAGGTCAGGTGAACAAAACATTGCAGATAATAAATATCAAAATGAATGTGCGCACATGCGCATTCGTTTATTAGGGGGAAGCAATCACAATGGACTATGGTGAAGGACTTTGGGCATCTTGGTGGTGGATGTGGTTTGATAATAGCTGAAGTGGAGAGCTTATATTTCTAAATCATAGACAATATTGTAAACCAATGTTACCACAATCGGCATAAGCCCAATTGGGCTCCAGTTGTTAACAAAGAAAAGATGTAATGATGTAAAACACTTAAGTAGGCTCAGCAAAGTGACTTTTTGCACAATCATGTATTTTAAGTAATCATTCATGCTATGCTCATTTACAACTTATATTTTGGAGGAAATAGTTGAAAGGATATAGTCAAAAGGAGGATATTAGGTTTATGTACATCAAGTATAATTGAGGATACGTAACCTTTTCTGCATTTCTTCATGAGAATTCAAATTCACTTGGAAGTGAGAAAAGGAAACAGCTTATCTAGTTCAGCAATTTAATTTTTTTCTCTGTCCTCTGCCTATACGTGAAATATAAATAGATCTACATTAATCTCTTTTGGAAGTTTTCAGCGATCTTCAGCTTTCTTCTTTGGATTCTTATTGAATCATTAAAAAAGCATTTGCAATTATAATTATGCTATAGAAAACATGTCCATGAGAGTAGGAGTGAGGGGAGCATCACAGTGGCCTCAGGAGTGGGCATCATTTTTCCACCCCTACTTACAAGGCTGCTTGGACTACAAATTCCACTGTCAATGGACCAGGCTTCCTGAATGGGTACCTGCTGGGAAGGAGGAAGGAGATGGAATGAAGGAGGAAAGAGCAACAATTGAAGGAGAGACATGTGAGTGAAAGACTTATGGTGAGGCTGTCCCTAGTTCTGGTGTCCTTATAGCATTTTTTTTAAAAGATTTATTTATTTATTTATATAAGCACTGGGTACAATCAGAAGCGTGGGAGGGTGAGAGAGTTCACCAGAGTCAGAGCGGAGAGCACAGCCAGCAGACTGACAAAGTACACTGCTGAGGGGTGGGACCCTCACCCGATGGCTGGAGATCAAACTGGCGGCGCTGCAGAGGCTGCGGGCAGCTTCACAGCCCAGCGCTCAACCGCTGCACCACCAGGGGAGGCCCTCCTTAATAGCATTTTTGACAGAGGCCATGAAAGCCTCTATCTTGATCTTGTGGTGGATTACATGGCACTTTTTTTTTAAGATTTATTTATTTATACAAGAACTGGGGTACAGGCCAGAGATGCGAGAGGGTGAGAGAATTCACCAGAGATAGAGTGGGGAGAGAACAGGCAGACAGACTGAAGACACTGCTGAGCGGAGCAGTGGATGAGGAAGAAGAGGTCTGCCGCCCCATGTGGGTATCTCCTTGGCTGACCAGGAACTGAACCTGCGCTGCAGAGGCTGCAGATTGCTTCACAACACTGCGCTCAGCCCGCTGTGCCACCAGCGAAGCCCACATGGTACTTCTTGAATTTCATATCTTTCTTTTCATCCCAGCTCTCTGGGAACTTCCTAATCCATTTTTTGTAGCTCCCTATTGGAAGGTGACTTAGATTTGTGGCAAGCTTTTGGTCCTCTTAGCCTGTTTGGCTGGGCATTTGCCCTCAAGGGAATGGGTAATTTTTGGAGTTTGACCAGGTGTCAGTTATTTGAAATCCTTTCTTCTCTCTCCCCTTCGAACTTTCACACCACTTAGACATATCTTTGAGCACCCTAAGAGTATGCTTTCTTTGCCTTTGCACACAGATGGCCAGATCCTTGAAATGTGCAATGAGTAAAAGTTTGGCCCCATCATTATCCCTTGGATGTGCAGCTGCAATTGGGTTTATGGACCTCATGAATAGAGATGACTCACTTTATCCAACATATATTTTACCGAAAAGTTGGTTATTGGTTATTGTGTAAAACAAAAACTATTTTAGTTGAATGAAAAGTGATTAGTATTTAAAGAAATGATGGTATAGTTAAGAACCATTTTACTTTAATTTTATTAGTACTATTTCTATTCAAAATTTCAAAAAAACATTATAAAGACCATTTTGTATTGATACAGTGTTTCTTAATGTTAGATATTTATAGCTTAGTTTTTTTTTTTTTACTAAAAGGAAAACTGGGTTTGTGAGTTATCTTAAATGAATAAAGCGAGACAGTTGTTGATAATATGTTCCAGCTCTTTCATACTGTGGTTTCCAAATGGTTTAACAAAAATTGTCATCTGACAATTTAATAAATAATTGTATATTACTGATTATAACTAGAAATGGGGCTGTATACAAGATAATTCCTAGGGGAATTACAATATATGCATTGCTCCATTCAATTTTGAACCTTAAGCTGAAGACTGCAAAATGGATGGATAGATAAAGATTTCCTTGGTTGATACTGAAATAGCTTTAATGACTTGAATATGTCTCACATTCATTATAAAAAATTTAACATCACTACCAAGTATTCTCTAGTGTGTATATTTGAGTTCAATCGGCCAAGCTGGGGTTACAAAAGTAATCAATATTGAGTCTGGAAAATCTTGGAAATGGGAAAGTTTTTCTTCTACTTTCCTATTAACCTTCCAAAATACATTTTTCACCAACAATAATTGGATTCAGTAAACATTATATAATTTTATAGCTGATTTCTACATCTTTTTTTTCAGATTAGTAACAAGCAATTATCATTAAACTAGTCATTTGTATTACAAAGTAGGATTATTTTAAATATCAATGATTGATAAAGGATATATATCACCTATTGCTTTATTTCTATGCTATCATTCATTCTTGTTTAATGTTTTTTTATATAACATCAAGAAAAAAATACATACTCTTCTACCAAAGAGCCTTATAGATTCTTTTCCTTATTTAGAATATGTCACTAAAATTTCTTTTTTTTTATGAGTTTTTAAATTTTTTTTTAAAGATTTATTTTATTTATACAAGAGCCGGGGTACAGGCCAGATGCACAGGAGGGTGAGAGGATCCATCAGAGTCAGAGTGGGGTACAGAACAGGCAGACTGACTGAAATACACTGCTGAGGGGAGCAGCGGACGAAACAGGCGAGGTCTGCTTGCCATGTGGGTTGCTCTGAGACTGGCGGGGATGGAACCGGCACTGCAGAGGCTGTGGACAGCTTCACAGAGCTGCGCTCAGCCGCCTGAGCCAACAGGGAGGCCCTACAATTTCTTATTAGTCAGAAATGGTGGAAATTATGACTGTGCACACAAAATTCATCAAGTAAACCGAGGCTAATGATCTTCAATTTAATAGTATTTTTGCACATTGTTCTAGTTCAAGTCTTCCTTATGTATAGCTCTATGCCATTATCTCCAAAAAAGGAGATAATTAAATTACAGTCAGTGCCAAAGAAAAACAAATAAGATACCGTGGCACTCACATGACCAACTCTTTATAAATGTACTGTGTTTAAGACAGTCTTTTAACCCAAATTAAAAATTTCATTTCTATCTCTTAATTAATACTTGAAAGGCAGGACTTTAGAATTTTTAAAAAAAAATGATTAATTTATATAGTCCAAGACAAGACACTGATAAATTATTTACAATTTACTCTCTGGATTACTTTGCCAATATTATAGCCATTAGCCACATGTGGCTGTTTACATTTACATTAAGTAAATAAAATAAAATAAAATGAACAACAACAATTCCTTAGTTGCATTAGCTCAATAGCCACATATGACTAGTAGTTACTATACTGGGCAGCACATATTCATAGATTTTCATTATTGCAAGTTTTACTGAACAGTGCTATTTTAGACCTCGATGGATGTTAAGTTTTCCCATCCTGAGTTGTTTTAAGACTCCTGTACTGCTGTTAAAATAAATGTTGACTAAAATAATCCTAAAGCACTGGTGTTTCTAGAGTCAGTCTTTAGAGAAACACTAACTATTGATCAGGAGCTTGGAATGTTTCTACAACATCACTACAACCTTCAGTTGAAATGCTAATTGTGGTAGCATAGGTGGAGGTACCAAAACTCAACTTCAGAATTTTTAAACATCTGAGCAAAAACGGGGCCTCCTTGGTGGCAGGGGTTAAGCTCAGCACTATCAAGCTATTGCCAGCCACTGTGGCATGAGTTTGATCCCTGACCAGGGAACTAACTCACATGGCACAGCAGACCTCTCCTGTCTTGCCCGCTACTCCCCTCAGCAGTATATTTCAGTAGATCCACCTATTCTGCTCCCCACTCTGTCTCTGGTGAATCCTCTCACACCCTGGCACCTCTGGCCTACACTCCAGTTCTTGTATGCATACATAAGTAAAATAAATCTTAAAAAAAAAAACTGAGCAAAAACTTAACATTATTTAGCTATAGGTCTATTGCAATGTTCTTTTCTCATATGTTTTTATTACTGGCTCCTTTTGCTATTTA